CTTCGAAAGAATTAAATTGTTTTCATTTCAAATGGAGAAGTAAAAGGAATAAGCCTAGCTTTTCCAAGTGTCCACAAGTCACTTGAATTAATATTAACATAAGACATATCTATCAAAGAAGCACCAAACGATTTCACTTAGAGAACATAGTGAACAACTTTGTTCCAATTGAAAACGCATTTTCCATGAAAAATGCAACAAAATTAGTAAGTGCTTATAACTTTGTAAAACCCCCGAAAATTTGAATATTTTGTGATAAATAATAATAAATATTTTAAGGTGATAAATGACATATTGTAATGTTTGAGTATGATAGGAATTGATTTGAGATCAATTCAAAGTATATATGTATATATGAGTGCAAATGCACAAAACATGCGATGTATAAATCTAAAAATTTATGACCAGTAGAGAGATTTTGTATTTTATACACTTATGAAGTATGAATTTGGAAAAACTTAAAAGATTAAAGCTTTAGGTATCTTCAACAGCTTTCCAACAAATCTTTAATCACCTCAGTCTGAGATCGGATGCGAAAGTTACAGCCAAAATACCAAAGAGTATGTTTCTAGTCAGACTGTGTTTTTCAGTTTCGGGTTTCGGGTTTTGGGCTGTAGTTATTCGGGTTTGTTGTCATATATATACATGTTTTTACACGAAAATCACCCATTTTCTTCTGAGTTCCAAACCCTAGCATCCCCTCTCCTCCTCTCTCAAATCCTAGCCCTAAACTTGAGTTCTCGGGAGAGTTTCATGAGGCGAAAAGCGAGGAGAATGCGAAATTTACGATGTTTGGCATCAAAGGATCTTTCTCACGTGTTTTTGGGAGTTCATCAATACCCATCAGGCGAGTTTCATCTCGCCCAATCTCTCACCTAGTTTTTAAATGCTTTTTAATAATTGTTTTATTGTGATTTGTGAGTCTAACATGCTAGTTTATGTATAAACATAGATCTTATTATTGTATATTGCAAAGAAAACAAGTTTTCAGTTAATAAGATCACTCACGAATTTCTTAATGCATATCTAGATCTAAAAATATTTTTAAAACAAGAGTTTGAAAGAAAAATAATTGTTTTCAAAGGTTTCGACATGAATATGCATGTTTTAAATTGTTTCATTTTGTCTATAGTGATTAGACTGTTTATCTCATGTTCCAGATATGTTAAATCATATGTATAGGGTTGCATATATATATATAAACATCACACACGAAGTTCGAGATCAAAACCACGTTGAACAAAACTAGAAAATAGTTTCTGCTTCTGCGTGGTCGACCGTGGTGGGCGCGGCGGTCGACCGCGTAGCGTGCACAGGTTGAGGGTTTGTGTTTGTTTTCATCACGACCGACCATGCTGGGCACTGCAGTCGACCGTCAATCGCGGTCGACCGGGCTTGGTTCGGCGGTCGACTGCTAGAGAGCACATAAGAACAGGAAGTTCATGCTCTCTGTGCGGTCGACCGGGGTGGCACGACGGTCGACCGCGAGTTAATTTTTTACACTGTTCAGTTGTGCATATGTTCGTGTGGCTGGCAATATTTTTGGGTTATTTAGGGTTGTTAAACACCGAGAATTTTGTACATGAGTTGACTACAGACTTAAGACTTGTTAAATTCACCGAGACATGAGAGTAAATAGTATATACATATGCTTTTAAATTGTAATCTATTGTAGTCCATATGTTGGCCACTTATCCATTGTGGCCCATGTGTTGGACCTGAATCATATAGTTCATGTGTGGGACATTTGCTTATTTCAGTCCATGTGTTGGACACATGTCTATTGCGGCCCATTTGTTGGACCTTAATCATATAGTCCATGTATTGGACATTTACTTGTTTCAGTCCATGTGTTGGACCTTGATCATATATAGTCCATGTGTTGGGCTTTTACCTGTTATAGTCCATGTGTTGGGCATTTATCATATGCAGTCCATGTGTTGGGTATTTATTATATGCAGTCCATGTGTTGGGCATTTATCATATGTTGTCCATGTGTTGGACATTTATCTGAATTATCTTATCTAACATATAGTAGATAAAGTCCATGTGTTGGATAAGTATCTGGCATCAGTCAGGACATATTGATAGTATGATTGGAGATGGAGCTATCTTTCATTATTACTCCACACTGTAGCTTTTGGATTTGGTATTTAGAGGAGCTATCTTTCATTATTGCTCCACAATGTAGCTTTTGGATTTGGTATTTAGGGATTTACAATTTGACACATATGGTATATACATGAGGGTTTCCTTGTTTGGATTATTTTGCTCGATGTACCATGCTCGTGTTGTAAATTTCTAAATATCAAACCTCCTTTTATTTCAGAGTAGATGATTGTTTATCTATATGTATTAACAACTATTTTCTTATCCTTCTAGCCCTTCTTTCTGGGGTTGGTTGAGATGTTACTCGCTATAGCACTTTGACGCTCGTTGTTTCCCCACTTTCAGGTAACGAGCCAGGTGTATGGAGAGCCGTAGCTTGATGGATTTGCTCTAGTTACTATTTATAGATATTTTATTAGCAGTTTATTGTTAGGACTCCACGATGATTTTGTTTATGAACATTGAGATGTTATTTCTAGCTTTGTAAAGGCGAGGTGCCTTAATGTCATTTCATTTGATTGTCTATGTCGAGACATTTGTATTTAACTCAGAGGTTGTTCCTTTTTCAGAGATTGATTTATTCATATCAGTGGTGGCTATTTCCTTCAGAGTATCTATTGTTTAATATTTCTTCTGTACATTCTCTTTTGCCTGTTTTTGTACCTACACATGTTATTGATTCTACTAGATAGATATTTATTGTGATGGTGAAACATGTTATTACACGGTGTAGTACATGGCAGGTTTGACATTCTTGGTTTCACCTCGGACTACAGTCTTGTTGAAACCAGGGGCGTTACAATTGGTATCAGAGCTCTAGTTCTAGTATTCTTAGGATCATCCTGTATCGAGTCGTGGAGCTAGGTTAGAGTTTCCTAGGATTGATGTATAGAGTCCGATAAGAATTTCCTAGTATGAGTGAGGACGATATATGCGTATATCTAAATATTTAAGAATATTTTTTTATGACAACTATTTTATGTTGATTGAAGGTATTTGCGTAAATTCTATCTGTTATGAATTCGTATTGTGATATGTTATATATATATATATATATATATATATATATATATATATCAAGAAAAAACCAAAGAAACAAATAACTAAAATCTTTTAAATATTTATATATGTGCCTAGGGCAAATTCCTTCATGATCTGGTATGTTCTTTACTATATAAGCTACGCACTCCAAAGTCTTGTGTCTATTGAGAAGCAAAAAAGTTTGAACACGCCTCTAAACATTTTGCCGTCACAACGGTAAAATCCATCTAGTAGATGTGAATATTCTAAATGAATTATATGCCCTTTATGCAATGCAATCATCAAAGGCAATTGAGTTTTGAAGCTACACCAGAATATACAACGTTATTTTTATGTTTACATCGTTTGGGGCAAGATTTGATAGGGAGCTTGCATCAATAGAAAATAAAACTTAAATTTAGAGCATTTGCCAAATTATCAATGAATCCTCAATAACTTTTGTAGTAAACCTCAATATCTATTGGCTAAATTACGTTAAGATCCTGATACCTTTCAAAATGCCTTTGTGTAGTTTTTCTGTTCTAATTTATAGGGTTTATCTAAAAACACGGCAATTTATTGGGTTTTTTTGCAATTCCAAAAAATTATTAAAGAAGTTTTTATAGATTTTGAAAGTTATTCAAGATTTACTACAAAATGTTGAAAGTTCCTTGGGGGTTTTGTGTAATTTACCCTTAAGTAGCATTAGTTTAATAAAAGACTATATTACACATATAACTAATTAAATTAATATATAGCTTGGTATTAAATTAATTATATTTTACAAACTTAATCTCTGATGTTTATAATATTTACAAGGTAATAAAATATTTGGAGTTACGTATGGAGAAATATTGAAAAGTTTAGAGATATACTTCGAAAGAATTAAATTGTTTTCATTTCAAATGGAGAAGTAAAAGGAATAAGTAGCTTTTCCCAAGTGTCCACAAGTCACTTGAATTAATATTAACATAAGACATATCTATCAAAAGAGCACAAACGATTTCACTTAGAGAAACATAGTGAACAACTTTGTTTCCAATTGAAAACGCATTTTCCATGAAAAATGCAACAAAATTAGTAAGTGCTTATAACTTTGTAAAACCGCCCGAAAATTTGAATATTTTGTGATAAATAATAATAAATATTTTTAAGGTATAAATGACATATTGTAATGTTGAGTATGATAGGAATTGATTTGAGATCAAATTCAAAGTATATATGATATATATGAGTGCAAATGCACAAAAATGCGATGTATAATCTAAAATTTATGACCAGTAGAGAGATTTTGTATTTTATACACTTATGAAGTATGAATTTGGAAAAACTTAAAAGATTAAAGCTTTAGTATCTTCAACAGCTTTCCAACAAATCTTTAATCACCTCAGTCTGAGATCGGATGCGAAAGTTACAGCCAAAAATACCAAAAGAGTATGTTTCTAGTCAGACTGTGTTTTTCAGTTTCGGGTTTCGGGTTTGGGCTGTAGTTATTCGGGTTTGTTGTCATATATATACATGTTTTTACACGAAAATCACCCATTTTCTTCTGAGTTCCAATTTTGTAATAAATTGAATCCCCCTGAACATTGTTGATAATCAGGGTTTTCTTTGTGAGGTATTGAAACCCCCCTGAACATTGAAACTCCCCTGAATTTGGCCTTGGTTCTTGTCATACGAGTGCTTCGGGTTTTTTTCCGGTGATTTGAGGCTGATTTTCTTACATTGACCACTTGAATGCTAACTGAAAAATTTCATTCATCGCTTTGTTTTTTCTAATTCTCAGTTCTTAAATTTTTTTTGGCAGTCATTTTGGTATTGTCTTCTGGGGAGCAATTTCTCAGAGCTTTCAGGGGGTAAAAAGAAGACAAATGGCTGAACCTAGTGATAGTAGCGAAGATGTTCATGGTGATAGCTTCAACAACAACGATTTCATGCCTTTTCCAACAACGATGCCTGTTTCAAGGTACCTCATTAATGTCATGAATTTTGCTGACATGAAATATGTTGTTTGAAATAGTAACGTTTAGTAACATTATATATTGACCCCCAATTATATTTATTTTCAGAATGCAAAATGGTGAAAAACCGTGTTTAGGAATGAAGTTTAGTAGTCATGAAGAGGCCTACAACTATTATAACTCGTATGCTTTGATGATGGGATTTGGAATCAGAAAAAGCTCAGTGAATTACTCCCAGAAAGATAAACAAGTGTTGAATAGAAAATTTGTTTGTGACAAAGAAGGTTATAGATCTAATAAAGACAAGAGAGATATAGGGAAAATATCAATCATCGGCGAGAGACCAGAGTTGGCTGTAAAGCAATGATGAGAATAAAATTATTGGAGGATAAAACATGGGAAGTTGTAGGTTTTATTGAAGATCATACAAACCACATGCTCAGTAGTCCAGATAAAGCAAAGATGCACAGGTCACAACAACAATTTCATAGAAGTAAAAGGTGTAAAAAAATTATTCAATGTTTGCAAGAAGAAGGTATTACTCCTTCCACTATTTCTCGTGTTATTAACGCGACAAGTGGAAGAGAAGATGAATCAGTGACACCACAACAATGCATTGACTATATGAAAACTCAAAGGCATAACAATATTGGTAATGAATGTATATCTGTTATCGAATATTTTCAAAGAAAGACGGCTAGTGATGCAGATTTTTATTTTGCATTGGAAGTAGATTGCACTGGACAAATGAGAAGTGTTTTTTGGGCAGATGGAAAATCAAGAGCAACTTATTTGAAGTTTAATGATGTTATTGTGTTTGATGTGACTTATAAAACCAACAAGTTTAGTCTTCCATTTGCACCATTTACTGGGGTGAATCATCATAGGCAATCTACTTTATTTGGTTGCGCATTGCTAGCTGATGAACAAGAAGAAACATTTGTTTGGTTGTTTCAGGAATGATTGGCTCGAGATGAAGGAGAAGTTTAAGATAATAGAAGAAGAAGATGGATGGCTGCAAAATATTTACATGTATCGAGATCATTGGGTGCCATGCTTCTTAAAAGGCATTTTTTTTGCAGGAATGAGATCAACTCAAAGGAGTGAAAGCATCAACTCATTCTTTGATGGATATGTGAATTCACAAACACAGTTAAAAGAATTTGTAACTCAATATGAAAAGGCCGTGACACACCGACGATTGAGTGAAGCACATGAAGATTTTAGAACTCTTAATACAAAACCGCAGTTTCACCTTGGGCATCCAATCGAAAGACAAGCCAGAAGTAGTTATACCCGCACTATGTTTCATGTATTTCAGAATGAGATCAAAGGGTGTGGTGTTCTTGGCCTTCAAGAGGTGACCAAAGAAGAAAAGTCTGCTTTATGGCGAGTTGGTAACTTAGATGAAAGCAATGAAAAGTGGAGGTTTGTTACTTATGATGAATGTAGAGAATTACAGTATAGTTGCAGCTGTGGTATGTTTGAGAATAGTGGTGTTTTATGCAAACATATATTGTACACTCTAATGTTCAACAGACAATGTTGTTCATTGCCCAGTGCATATATTTTACACTGTTGGACTATAGATGCTCGACATCGTAACATTGGAGTTACTAATGTTGTGTTTGGCAAAAACATTACAGGCGGTGTAGAAAAAATAAATCTGTTGAAAACTTGGGCTTTGAAAGCAAAAACCAACAATGCACTGGAGCTTGCCTTTGAGTCAGATAAGAGAATGCATGAGCTTGATTCTTTGTTAACAACTTTCATAGAGAGGGTTGAAGAAGAAGTCAGAGGGTGTCAAGCAATAGATGCTGGTAGCAGCCACATTCTGGACTCGGATATTCCACAGATACCTACTTCAGATACAATCCAACATATTCCACAAATTACAGTTCGTGACCCAGAAAAGCAAGCAAGAACCAAAGGTCGTCCACGCAATGCTACAAGAATTAAATCAACTTTAGAACAAGCACAAGAAAAGAAAGAGAGGCAAAAGCGTACATGTAGTAGATGTGAACAACTTGGACATTATAGGACTAGCTGTACAGTTAACAAGCCCAGATATGTTTAATTACATTAACAAGTTAAAATATTTTATTACTTAAATCATATTATTAATTTTATCTTTGATATTTTATGCAGCGAAACTGACAAACAAGACTAATGAACAAAGTTTATGGAGATGCACTTTTTAAGCATAGTTTGGACCTGTAAGTAGCTAATTTGGAACTGGTGCATAATTTGGACCTGGTACATTCATTCTGTTATCAATTTGGACCTTGTGCATAGCAGGAAGAGAATAAAGCACAATATTGCCGATCATTTATGTTATGATCTTGTTTTGTGTTTGTTTTAACCATGTCAGATGAGAAAGGAGACTTGTAAGTTGCTAATGATCTCACTTTACTTCTTGATGGAAAGGGAGTGGTTTAAACACAAAAACTTAATTATCTAAAGTTTTCTTTATGGACATGGGCATCAGCCTTTTCATATTGACCTGGTGCATAGTTTAAACACAATTGTTGTGAATGATCTCACTTGATTTCTTTATGGACATGGGCATCAGCCTTTTCACTTGATTTCTTGACCTGGTGCATAGTTTAAACACAATTGTTGTGAATGATCTCACTTGATTTCTTGACCTGGTGCATAGTTTAAACACAATGCAACATGTACCTATTTATTTTCCCATATGACAATAACTCTACCATTATCATTTTACTCAAATATTGTCTACAGAATTTAGCTACTCACAAATTTAGCTACTCATATATTCTTTTTACTACAATCTTGACTTCATGAGAGTTGAGTTTTGCTGATGAGTTGAGTTTTACTTAAATCCAGTTTCATGAGAGCTGAGTTTTCCCACATGTCCCTGTTTATCTTCCTTACAAGTATGAAGTGACAATGAACCATACAAGGAAGAGGAAGAGGTCAACCAGGAATAGGGGTTGGGATTGATGCCACTACAGCTTCTACAGGGGAGATAGTTTGCTTAGATGAACTTCCTACAAAAACTAAATTGAAGAGATTTGACGATTTGGATGATGAGCTGTGTCCTTTTATGTGATATGAGTACTTTTTTTTGGGAGCTGTTGTCTCCTCATGTTTTGTGGTGATGCAGATGTTTTTTTTTTCTTTTTGAGCTGATGTCTCCTCATGTTTTGGAGTATGTCACAACCTTGCACATATTAACAGTTTTGGTTGTCTGGTGTTTACAAGTTTTTACATTGTCATGCAGTCCTGAAACTGATACAAACTGCAGTTATAAAAAGTGATATAAAAAGGCTGTAACAAAAGGACCCAGAGGATAAGAACCCATAATTGAAAGCAAAGGTGAACTGTAGCATGTCCAAAAAAAGCTGATACAAACTCCGTTCCTGAAACTGATAAGAACCCAGAGGATAAGAACCCATAAGGTTAAAAAAAAGCTACTATAGCATGTCAATAATCAAAATAAGTTGCTCAAGCCCAAAATTCATACAAACTGATACACCACTGCAGTCCTGCAACAATATGTCCATCACAAACTTCAGTAACAAAATTCATACAAACTTCAGTAACAAAAGACAAACATTCCAACAATATGTCCATCACAAACTTCAGTAACAAAATTCATACAAACTTCAGTAACAAAAGACATACAAACTTCAGTAACAAAAGACAAACATTCCTATAAGTTGCTCAGGCCTTTGACTATAACAAAATTTCAAAAAAGGGAGCAACAATATGTCCATCACACCAACACAGCAACAAAATTTCAGAAGCAAGAAAAACATCATGAAACTGATACAAACACGAAGAAACATTCCTACAAGTTGCTCAGTCATTTGACTATAACACAGAGCAACACTATCAGGACAATGATACTTATAAATTTTAAATATAAAATTACATTATTCAGCATTTTTTTTCAAAAGCTCATCATTTTTTTCCAGCTTTTCCAGCCCTTTTGTGATGTTCTTGGTATCACCCACCCATTCGAAGAAGTTGCAACCCTTTTGATTAGGTCCCTTGTATCTCGGGCATCCATAAAATTCCAAGCCCTTATTGTGTCCTTGCTTGCACATCCATATTCTACAAATTAACCCACAATAACATCTTCTTTCAACTAAACCCTCATCTTCTTCTCCACTGAACTCTTCCGAAAAGTTCTTCATCTTTTATCTGCAACAAACATACCATAAACAAGATAAAATTCATACAAAAAGTCAATTTAACTTTTTTCCTTCTTAGAAAATGACTCACTCATAATTGTGGACTTTTTTCTTCTGCAATTTATCTCAACCATAATTTGTTCCAGGCAATTTATCTCACTTTATGTAATGTATATCACACCTACCATCAAAATTACTCAATTTATTCCAGTATCAACTTCACAACATGTATAATTCTCAACAACTTGGCTTATTTGACATATCAAAAGTTCTGCCTTGTTAAATGGTATGATGAGGTTGTTGTCAGCACATATGTCTCTAATTAGGTCTTTAATTAGAATAGGTTACAGTACAATTGGTTGTGGTCCAGTTTTCCTTCAAGAGGTACAAGAATCACAAGCACTCGTATGACAAGAACCAAGGCCAAATGTAGGGGGGTTTCAATGTTCAGGGGGGTTTTCAATACCTCACAAAGAAAACCCTGATTATCAACAATGTTCAGGGGGATTCAATTTATTACAAAATTTTGGCAGAGAGTGAGATAGTCTGGGGAAGAACTGACCTGTTAGACTTGGTCGGCGGGGGATCGGACCCACGTCGGCGTCGGAGCTTCGATGGGGGTCACGAGCGAGCGTCGAGAGTTGGGGGAGGGGGTTCGACGGACGGACTTCGAGGGGGGCTTCGGCGTGAGCTCCGACGTGAGCTGGGGCTTCGGCGTGAGCTCCGACGCGATTTGGGGCGTCGGCGTGAGCTCTGACTTGACCTGGGGTGTCGACGTGAGCTCCAATGTGAACTGGGGTTCGGCGTGAGCTCCGACGTGAGGATCTGGCCGCCGACGTGATTTGGGGCGTCGACGATTTGGGGATCGCAAGGAGGGGAGGGCTCTTCAATTTGGGGATTCTTCAACATTGAATAGGGTCATGAGGGGAGAGAGACGTATAATTAAGAATCACAGGGATTTTTTCAAAAAAACCCTACGCTGAAGAGCCCTCCAATCGCGATTGGCCACATGAGCTGGAGCGCAGGAAATTTCCTACGCTCAAGCTCATGATCAGTTTCCCCTATATATATATATATATATATGTGTGTGTGTGTGTGTGTGTGTGTGTGTGTGTGTGTGTGTGTGTGTGTGTGTGTGTGTGTGTGTGTGTGTGTGTGTGTGTGTGTGTGTGTGTGTGTGTATTTTTTATCTCATTTACTGTGATAATTAAGCTCTCCTTTTGATATTATAAATATAAAAACGAAGATGTGGTCGAGGTAAAACTCATACCTGGAGAACTGGGCATGTAGAGCCGAGCCACAGCAGGCTCCATTGTATTTGATCGACTTTATGACACCGTTAGCAATAAGATCTTACAATACTTGAGGAGCAAGAAGTGTATCCGTTTTCGTCAGCAGTACCACTTTCAGGAGTTCTATCACAATCAGCTATTGATAGAGCCGCAGAACGGGAGACTTGGCTCTGAAAGAATAAGAAAGATATCAGACACTGAGAGCACCATAGTTTTAGGGCACACCGGATTGATATGCAACATATAAATAAAAAGAATATGTGAAGGTTTCTTAACGTCGATTCAATACCAAACCAGAGGTTAAATGTTTTCATCATAAAGAGCATCATCGGGGAATGACAACAAAGAATAGTAAAGGCTTTATATTTTCACAGGAGCAGCGAATATCAATTATTTGGGAGAAGTTTGTTTACTCCTTCAACAAGCAGTTAGAATTAGTTGAATTGAAGCAGAGATATATGCCTGTAATTAATGAAGAAATCAAAACCAACATGGTAACGATGACAAGGGTAAGAGATCTATTGAAGGATCTAGAGAACCCTAATAGCGGGGTAAGGATTTTTACCACAACGACAAGAATAGTATAAGAAGAGAGCACAAAATGATTCAAGAGCACTGCAACAATGCAGGAATTTGAATACAGATTATATTTATAATAAGATCGAGCATAGATCGAAGGATTTTTACAATGCACCGGCAGAAGACCAGCATGACAGAGGTCAGGGTCAACAGTCTCAGAGCCACTGTTGCAGCCAACAACGGAGAATGAAGTATTACTTGTTATCTAAAGGATTGAGGGACCAACAGACCATATTTACGTTATCTAAGAGATTCATGAGGGACAGATGGTCCCACATATTTTTCATTACCGGCAGGATCTATATAGCTGTACCACGTGATCATGGTACGAGCAGAACTTTCTTCGTGATTTTCTTTCAAACTCAAACCTTGTTTTATTCAGGAATTCCGCTTATCTTTTATGCCTTCATGGATAGGCTTCAGCTTGTAGCACGTTCTTTAGGTGTTCTGTTATCACTCTCTACTCCTCTAGGAGAGATATCCCTATTAGAGAGTATTTGTAGGAGATGTGTCATCGAACTAGATGAGTCCGAGTTTTCTTATAGATCTGATCGTGTTGCGGACATTGGTTTCGACGTCGTTTTCTGTATAGATTGGTTATCATCATATCATGTTAATATCGTCTGTTTTACTAAAACAGTAAGCTTGTGAGCATTCGTTGGGTTTGTGTAGATAGTAGCAACCTCATAGGGTAACCAAAATGCGGAGTCATTCCTGGCATACGTCGAGGAGGTGATGTTGAGGGATCGGAGTGCTTATTTGTGTGAGACTAGAGTTGTCTCAGTTTATCAGGATGTCTTTCAGGACATACCTAGGTTACCTCCGGTAAGAGAGGTTGAGTCCTGCATCGAGTTGTAGCGGAGCACAGTACCGATATCCCGAGCACCCTATTGTACGACACATGTTGAGATGAGGGAGCTATAAATTTAGATAAACGAGTTATTATCTTAGAGTTTTATTCGCCGGAGTCATTCTCCGTGGGGAGCACCGATCCTCTTCGTGAAGAAGGACGATATCTTATGATTTTGTATAGATTTCTATGAGTTGAACAAGTTTATTTTCCAGATTAGATAGGATTTATGACTTGGTCGATCAGCTGCGGAAAGCGTAGCATTTCTTGAAGATTGATCTTCGTTCTGATTATCATCAGTTGCGGGTTTAGGAGATGGATATTCCTAAGACCGCCTTTCTGACTCGATATAGGTCCTTCGAGTTTTTGGTTATGCCATTTGGGTTGACCAATGCACCCACGGTATTCATGGATTTGATGAAATAGGTCTTCCATCTATTTTTGGACCAGTTTGTGATTGTGTTCATTGATGATATTCTTATCTATTGGAGGTTGGAGTCGGAGCAC